GTTCGTATACTTCCGTCGACCGAGAAGGGAGGTCAGTAGTGTTCGTCAGAAAAAGTGTCCGTTTTTAGTTCCATGAAATCCATGCCGAACACCGCTGGTCTTTCACATGGTTTAAAATGGCCGCCGCCTCGTGGACGACATATGAACGACGACCACCCTGTATTCGGTTTTAATTGAGAAGTGTCTGCAGTTAACCACAACGTTCTAATTGGGATCAAGAGGTTAACCAGCAGCACACTTCTCTTCTGGGTGGCCGTCCGTTCGGTAGTTTTGTTCGGCGGAAAAGTCAATTCACTGAACAGGGGCATACGAACGGGTAATTCCACGAAAAAGCAAAATAGATGAACCAGCAATCCCAGTCTAAACAGATGGATCTGTCACCCCCCCCCCCTTATTCTAGGGGGGAGGACAATAGGTCCTCTGCCTTATTCTAATTAAGGGCCCCCACCCGCCACTCATGTGTGGGGGCCGGGGGGAGGACAATAGGTCCCCCCTTATTCTTCTTTAGGGTCCCCACCCGCCGCTCAGGGGTGGGGGCCGGGGGGAGGCCCCCACCCCTTAGGGCCCCCACCCGCCACTCATGGGTGGGGGTTGGGGGGAGGACAATAGAGGCCCTTATTATTCTTTAGGGCCCCCACCTGTCGCTCAGGGGTGGGGGCCGGGGGGAGGCCCCCACCTTTTAGGGCCCCCACCCGCCGCTCATGGGTGGGGACGGACAATAGGTACCCCCTTATTCTTTTTTAGGGCTCCCACCCACCGCTCAGGGGTTGAGGGCCAGGGGGAGGCCCACACCCCTTAGGGCCCCCACCCGCTGCCCATGGGTCAGGGCCGGGGGGGAGGACAATATTGATATTGATATTTAGGGACCCCACCCACCACTCAGGGGTAGGGGCCGGGGGGGAGGACAATAGGTACCCCCACTAATTCTTCTTTAGGGGCCCCACCCGCAGCTCAGGGGTGGGGGCCCAGGGAGAGGACAATAGATCCCCCCTTATTTTACTTTAGGGCCCCCACCCTCCGTTCAAGGGTGAGGGCTGGGGGGGAATATTTTTTTTTTGTTTTTTTTTACAGTGAGCAGCCACAGGGTATAGCGAGTACGGGTAAAATGTACTAATGCTAAGTAATTTTTACTTAGTATTAGTAAATTTGGCTGAAG